GGGATTACAGGCTTGAGCCACCGCGCCCGGCCAGCTGGTTCTTCTTGTGTTAGTGAGAGGAATGAAAGAATGGAGGCATTAGAGATCCATGGATGGAGGCCAGCCAGCACCTCCAGCGTTCGGAGTAAACCCCTGAGCCACCAGGCCTGCCTCCCACAGAAACAGAAAGAAAACCTATCCTGCCTCTCACTGGGCCATAAATTACACATCGTCCCCTTCCCTGGGCCTTCAGGGAACCAAAGCATGTTCCACTCCTGCCACTGACCTTCCTCATCTTTGGGACTCCTGTCTTAACTTCTCACTGATCACAAAAAGGGATCTTCACAAAGTCTTCCTGCGTTGTTTCTCTGCCAGTCCTGCAGGCTTTGGGAGTTACTGTCTTAGCGAGAGAATAACAGTGGATCAAAGAGGAGGGACTATACCTTCTAAGTGCCCCCGCACCCAGGGCCACCCATTGGCACTGCCTGAGGAGGTCGTCTCAAGGTGAGGAGATGGACTAGGAGGGAAAGTGAGCCCCTATCAGCCAATGCTTCTCAGACACTGACATGCAACTAATACGTAGGGTTCTTGACATACAGGGCTCTTGCTACAATGCAGATATCGATTTAGGAGAGGAGCCCAAGATTCTGCATTTCAAATTTCCCAAGTGATGTTGATGCTGCCAGTCCACAGACCAGACTGTATTTGCATAGCAAGGAGCAAGACTGAGTGGAGGTGAAAAAAATAGAGGAAAAACAAGCTCCATGAGAGGCAATCTGATGATGCTCCAGCTGCAAAACCTCTTTGTCTTCAAGGACTTCCCTGCAGGGCCTTTCACCTTTTCCAGAGGATTGGAGCACACAGCCTTCCAGGCCCAGCCGAATGCTGGTAAAGGACCAGGGGCCTGAGACCTCCTCACACCCTCCATCAGCAGCTGTCAGGGAGAGGAGCCCTGCCTGGGCTGGGCAATCAACCCTCGCCCCTGCCGCTGGCTCTGGGGTGGTTCTGCCATGGAACATCAGGTTCAAGATGGCAAGAGGGTAACAGATGGTCTCTCTTCCCTCCACCTCTGCCTCATCCCAGGCTCTGCTCCCTGAAGCCAAAGCAGTGATCCTCTTTACTTTCTTGAACAGCAGCTTACTTTGTGCCAGGCTGTGTGAACCACCATCTGGAACTGTTTTTATTTAATCCTCACAATCACCTTGTGAGGTAGGAACTGTTTTATCCCCACTTTAGAAGGAAACTGAGGCCCCATCACTGAACTACATACCTGTGAGGCCAGGAGCCTATGGGACCAAATCTAGGAGAGAAGCCTAGGATAGGAATTTAATGAGAAATCAAGGCAACTAAGGTGCATTGATTGGTATATGACCCTTCAAAGGTAAGCAGAAAGCCAGTGCTGTTACTGTCCGTCTACCAGGTTCCCTTACCATACACCAGTGGCAGGAGGTTCTCCTGTGCCAGCTGGTACAGGTAGGTCATGAAATGGGCTCCTTGGCCTGGGCAGAGGGTGCCAGGCAGAGGCATGACTGACCAGGCAGCACCAACTGTGTGAAGAGTAGCTGGCCTGCTAGGCAGCTGGTGGAGGGCCATTTAGGAAAGTCTGAAGTAAACGTAGGTCGGTACTCGCCTACCTATCCATACCTCAAAGGAGCAGTGTCCTGGGATGGAAATGCACACGATTCCAGCTCTTCATTTGACAAACCTGAGTGCCTACAAGCACTGTGCTAGGCTTTGTGGGAGGGGTGAAGACAGTCTTTGTCCTTAGTGAGGAAAATTAGCATGCTGGATATAAAAATAAGAGTGGTGGAAATTTTGATGAACTGGAGAATGCTGCTCAGCTAAAACTTGTACTACCTTACTTGAGTTGGCTGGAGCCTCTCAGCAATGAAGGACTACCTGATTTTTCAAGTCCAAAATCAAGATCATGTGAACATTTCCCTTTTCAGAAACAAAATGCGCAGAACTTGGGGACAGGTGGTTAGAAGATAAAATGGAACAATTCAAAAAATAAATCCTCAAATGCAGGCCAACATGTGGCTGCTGGTTTGCAACCTGTGTTCCTCACTACCCAAGTCCTATTTTTTCCTGTTGTACCTCCAGCACCTCACAATTCCTGGCAGAACAGAAGTGCCTCTGGTATATGACCACGTGAAGCTTAACCAAGAGACCCACCAGAGTGGCAATGGATCTGAAATTTCCATCACATGCAGAATAGCTGAAGCAACTGGAGAGGGTTTTTAGCCTTGGAAATGACTAACAAGAGGCATAAGAATTGTTACAAATAAGAACATCCTTTTAAAAAGTTAGGATATATGGTCTGGCCAACATTTTGGAGTGGGGAGGAGGCTACTTTCAGGTAAAATATGCATCTGACAATTGACCACGGTCCCCCAACTACTACTGTCCATACCCACCTCCCCCATTTCTTCACTGGCCCAGTACCTAAAAGCATTTGGCTGTCATATCTGGTAAAGGGAATTCAGGTTTTGCCTTTTAAAAATTATTATTATTTTTTTGAGATGGAGTGTCACTCTGTCACCATCTGTAGTGCAGTGGTGTGATCTTGGCTCACTGCAACCTCCACCTCCTGGGTTCAAGTGATTCTCCTGCCTCAGCCTCTTGAGTAGCTGGGATATAGGTGCCCGCCACCACACCTAGCTAATTTTTGTATTTTTAGGCCAGGCTGATCTTGAACTCCTGACCTCAAGTGATCCCACCCACCTCGGCCTCCCAAAGTGTTGGGATTACAGGCGTGAGCCACCGTGCCAGGCCCAGGCTTTGCCTACTAACTTTAATCCCAAATATCTCACCTACTTCCTACCTAAGGATCTTACCTAACTCAGAATTGTTTCTTGGAGTTTCACTCTTGTTGCCCAGGCTGGAGTACAATGGTGCGATCTTGGCTCACTGCAACCTCAGCCTGCTGGGTTCAAGCGATTCTCCTGCCTCAGCCTCCCAAGTAGCTGGGATTACAGGCATGCGTCACCACGCCCAGCTAATTTTGTATTTTTAGTAGAGACGGAGTTTCTCCATGTTGGTGAGGCTGGTCAAACTCCCAACCTCAGGTCATTCGCCCGCCTCAGGCTCCCAAAGTGCTGGGATTACAGACATGAGCCACCGTGCCTGGCTAACTCGGGACTTTTCTAAGGATTAAAATGAGATACGTAATGAAACTATTTGGCAGAATACCTGGCAAAGGGGTCAAGAAATGTTCAACATTATTATGGAGGTTTAGATCTTTTCTCCCATCCAACTACCAGCCAGGCCTGACCCGGCTTAGCTTCCAAGATCAGATGAGGTTGGGAGCATTCAGGGTAGTATGGCCGTAGAGGTTTAAGTCTTTTCTATAAAACACCAAATAATACAACTATGGTAAAAGCATATAAGTTGCAGGGAATCTGATTTTGGCTTCACAAATGATACTTCTGTAACAATGCCAGCTGGAATAAGATCACAAGTGTGAATGTTCAAATAGAGCAGCAAAGGCCATTCCTCAGGGAACTCTGGAGAGGAGATTCCTACCCCAGGTAGGAAGTTGGTTGGTTTCTGCTCCGATCCTATGACTACTAAATGCATAGGATGAAAAACTACACTTATAATGTGCATTAACAGGAATATGACTGATCTCCATGGATATGGAAAGATATACAAAATAGAATCAGTGGGGGGAAAAAATTATAGAACCATACAATGGTATGTATATATCAAGTTTTAAAAACTAGGTATGTATATATGTGCTTAGAGCATTTCAGGAAGGGGTATATTAAGAAATTTATTTGGAAAACCTTGAGAGGTAAGCTGGAGTGAATGCACACTCTCCACTCCATGCCCAAATGTTTACTTTTCACTTTATACCCTTCTGTTTATTTTTTTTTTTGACCAGCAGCATCAACTTTTTAAAAAAGGACCGAACAGGCCAGGCTCGGTAGCTCATGCCTGTAATCCCAACACTTTGGGAGGCCAAGGTGGGAGGATCACTTGAGCCCAGGAATTCAAGGCTGCAGCGAGCTATGACTGCCACTGCCACCGTACTTCAGCCTGGGCAGTAGAGCAAGACTCTGTTTCAAAAAAATAAAATAAAAATAAAAATAGGCCGGGCACGGTGGCTCAAGCCTGTAATCCCAGCACTTTGGGAGGCCGAGACGGGCGGATCACGAGGTCAGGAGATCGAGACCATCCTGGCTAACATGGTGAAACCCCATCTCTACTAAAAAATACAAAAACTAGCCAGGCGAGGTGGCAGGCGCCTGTAGTCCCAGCTACTCGGGAGGCTGAGGCAGGAGAATGGCATGAACCCGGAAGGCGGAGTTTGCAGTGAGCTGAGATCCGGCCAGCCACTGCACTCCAGCCTGGGTGACAGAGTGAGATTCTGTCTCAAAAAAAAAATAAAATAAAATAAAAATAAAACAAACAAACAAACAAACAAACAAACCAAATCATTTGGTTTGGCCAAAACCTTCTGATCTGAGCTTTGCTTGGCAACCACTCCCCAAGATAAAGCTTCATATATCACCTCACATATTCACTGTCAAGGATCAGGAACTCTAGACTACTGGACTCCCCAGTCAACATTCCCACTACCAAAAGTGCCTAATCTTGGAGGCTGCTTCAGGTCACCCTCTCTTTGTCCCTCATTTCCAAGAGTCTTTTTTTTTTTCCCCTCCAACCACACTCACTCTACTGGTGATCTCAAACAGCCCGCTGATTTTAAAGATACTGTCCAAATACTGACTCCCAAATTTCTATTTCCATCCAAGACCCACTCTTAAACTCTAGACACACACATGCATCGCAACTGCCTCCTCAACAGCTCCACTTGGATACTGAGTAGATATCTAAAACTTGCTCTTCCCATAGTCTTCCAACTCAGCTGATGGCATGTCCATGCTTCCAGTTGCCCAAGTCCATACCTCAGAGTTAGGGAAAGTAGAGTGTGACCCACCATGCCAGCTACCTAGAAACTAAGGTAGATCTGGGTACTGGGATTAAAGATATCACAAAATCATTACAATGTTTTCTGAAATGTTTAAAGTTAACTCATTTTAATTCCAGGATTTGGATTTCAACATTTTAATTTCTTTGGAATATAAGTCACCTTTTGCAAGCTAAAAAATAGAATCAAACTAAGGTGATCTAGTCCTCTAGGCATCCAGGCTGATCCTTGGAATCATGAGAATGATGACATCATACAAGGTGCTAGCAATAGGGTTATAAACTCGAAATAATAACCACTTATCTATATGTTTCATTAGGAAACAGCCAAAAGTCCAGCCATTAAAGGAATAATCTACAGAACATTTTGATTTACAAGGGACAAAATGATCCAAATTGTATGCTGTCCAATCTACTGGTGAACTGGATCAGAATGGGCCAAGGGCTGTTAAACAGAGAAAGTATTTACATTTTGAAAACTTGCTCCGCAGGAAAAAAAAAAAATTCCTGGTTGCTGTCAGTAAGAAAGCAAGTAAAAAAACCATTACAGATGAACTCAATGATCTTTGATTTTACTAAGGCCTTCCACTGGAACATGAAGGTAGGGATAAGTGTAGAGGATAATATACTCAGATATTTTTATTTTTTTTATTTATTTTTATTTTTATTTTTTTTTTGAGATGGAGTCTCGCTCTGCCGCCCAGGCTGGAGTGCAGTGGCCGGATCTCAGCTCACTGCAAGCTCCACCTCCCGGGTTCACGCCATTCTCCTGCCTCCGCCTCCCGAGTAGCTGGGACTACAGGCGCCCGCCACCTCGCCCGGCTAGTTTTTTGTATTTTTTAGTAGAGACGGGGTTTCACCATGTTAACCAGGATGGTCTCGATCTCCTGACCTCGTGATCCACCCGTCTCGGCCTCCCAAAGTGCTGGGATTACAGGCGTGAGCCACCGCGCCCGGCCGATACTCAGATATTTTTAAAATAAATTACTTAGTAAGAAGAAATTAGCCATACTACATTCTTCCATTTGCTACAAGAGGAAATTGGCAATGAAGACTATTTAAAAGAAATGCTCAGCTCTACAGAGGGTGGTGGCAGGCAACACTTTTCCATTACAGAATAACCTCTATTCTTCCATGATACATATTCCTGTGGAAAAACTTGTCAGGAGCTCTTGCCAGGGCCAAGGGATGAAAAACAGAGCATGTCCTAATTAGCTACTGTAGGTTCAGTTAACATCTTTGGGAAGGACCCATAAAATCTGGCCATTATTTTCTTAAACATCTGCAAGCAGAAGAATTCCTTAGTCCTTAGCTATAGTTTCTGCTAGGTATCTTAAAGCTGGGACAGTTCCACTGTGACTCTTCTCCTCAGCTATTAGGTGGGTACTAGTCATCAAAGTCTGGAATGTCATCATAGGAGTAACCACGGTAGCCTTTGGATGCGTAGTAAGCGATGCGCAGGTGGTAAAATCCCGGTAGGAACACCAGAATGCCAATGATCAGGACTGGAACGGCCCGGTCTGCCCCCTGGTGGCAGAAGGAGGCAAACACATTAGTACTGTAAGAGTTACACATTTTAAAATAAAGTCTCATACCTAATCCTTAGATCAGTATTTTATACTCTTCAGTACATTTTCTTTGAGTTGTATACTACCGAGGGAAAAGGTTTCCTCCTGATTATAAATTGAAGAAAAACTACAAAGTACTAACAATTATAAAGAAAAAAATGACCCATTCTCATCCAGATATTTTAGCTTTTCCTTTTTTTAAAGCTCTTAGTTGTAAACACAACATACTCTGTGTCCTGTGGCCAATATTATTAAAACTTCTTCATATATTTAAGCTGTAAGGATGTGTAACATTCCACTGAAAGACATGCCACAGTTTTACATAACTGCCCCACATACAACTGCTGGACACTTTGATTGTTTTTCACCTTTTGTAATTGTACAGCTACCACTACAATAAACTCTGTGTTTTTCTCAGAATTTCAGGGTTTTTTTTCTTTTTTCTTTTCTTTTTTTTTTTTGAGGTAAGAGTCTTGCTCTATTGCTCAGGCTGGATTACAGTGGCGTGATTACAGCTCACTGCAACCTCAACTTCCAAGGCTCAAGTGATCCTCCACCTCAGCCTCCAAGTAGCTGGGGTTACAGGTGTGAGTCACCATACCTGGCTAATTTTGTATGTTTGTTTGGTAGAGATGAGGGCTCACTATGTTGCCCAGGCTGGTCTCGAACTCTGGGGCTCAAGAATTCCTCCTGCCTCAGTCTCCCAAAATGCTGGAATTACAGGCTTGAGCCACTGCACCTGGCTGGCTGTGTTCCCTGTTGTGTGTTAATTATAGTCAGAATTGGTTCAAGACAACTTAGATACTGTGTATGTGGGGACAGCCCATGAGAAAGAACCACCAACTACTTTAGGTTTCTAAGGTTTCATATTGAAGCTCAACAGGAACTCCATCCAAACATAATGTAAGAAGGAACTGACTTATGAGGCACAGTGACCCCACACATATAACAGAACTGCTATTTCTCTCCAAACACTGACAATACGTCCATGGCACTGCACAGCTACAATGACAGCATGCTGCTCCAGCTACAGCCCTTTACCAATCAGGACCCTTGCATGCCAGGCTCAGCCATGTTGTTCCAAACTATTACAGGGCAAACTGTCTAATATCTCAGAGACCAAGTTTGTCTACCTGCCACCACCTCCCTTATAGGAACTATGGAAGTTTACTGTTGCTCAAAGGAAGAAAAACATGTTTTGCCAACAGAGAACAAAATGCAAATCTTTTTGTTCTTTCTGCTGGAATCTGCTGTACTAGACATGAATATAAAAACAAAGATTCAACCAGGAAAAAAACCTAAAATCCGAATAGACAAACAAAGAGTAATGAGATTGAGGCCGTAATAAAAAGTCTCCTAGCAAAGAGAAGCCAGGGACTTGATAGTTTCACGGCTGAATTATACCAGTTAAAGAATTAATACTTGGCTGGGCATGGTGGCTCACTCCAGTAATCCCAGCACTTTGGGAGGCCAAGGCAGGCAGATTGCTTGAGTTCAGGATTTCAAGACCAGCCTGGTCAACATGGTAAAACCCCGTCTCGACAAACAACACAAAAATTAGATGGGCATGGTGGTACATGCCTGTGGTCCCAGTTGCTAGCGAGGTGGCAGGATCACATAAGCCTGGGAGGCAAAGGTTGCAGTGAGCTGAGATCGCACCACTGAACTATGCCTGGGTGACAGAATGAGATGCTGTCTCAAAAAAAAAAAAAAAAAAAAAAAAAAAGAATGTTAATCCTACTGAAACTATTCTGAAACAGAAACAGACATGGAGAGAATACTTCCAAACTCATTCTATGAGGCTAGTTTTACCGATACCAAAACCAGGTATTGATGCAAAAATCCTCAATAAGGAGGATAATACTAGCAAACCAAATTCAACAATACATTAAAAAGATTATTCATCAGGACCAAGTGGGATTTATCCCAGAGATGCAAGGATGGTTCAACTTATACAAATCAATCAATGTGATAAAATCATATCAGCAGAATAAAGGACAAAAACCATATGATTATTTCAATCCATGCTAGAAAAGCATTTGATAAAATTCTATATCCAACGGGTGCAGTGGTTCACGCCTGTAATCCCAGTACTTTGGGAGGCTAGGGTGGGCCTCACACTGACCATAATTAACACACAACGGGGAACACAGCCATAGGGGTGCAGTGGCTCAAGCCTGTAATTCCAGCACTTTGGGAGGCTGAGGCAGGAGGATTGCTTGAGCCTAGGAGTTCAAGACCAGCCTGGGCAACATAATGAGATCTCATCTCTAACAAACAAACAAAAAAACTAGCTGGCTATGATGACTCACACCTGTAACTCCAGCTACTTGTGAAGCTGAGCTGGGAGGACTGATTGAGCCCAGAAGATCGAGGTTGCAGAGAGCTGTGATCACACCACTGTACTCCTGGACTGCTTGAGTCTAGGAGTTCGAGATCAGCCTAGGCAACATGGCAAAACTTCGTCTATATAAAAAATGAAAAAAAAAATTAACCAAGTGTGGTGGCACCTGCTTGTGGTCCCAGTTACTTGGGAGGCTGAGGCTGCAGTGAGCCAAGATGGTGCCACTGCACTCCAGCCTGGAAGACAGAGTGAGACTCTCTCTTGAAAAAAAAAAAAAAAAAAAAAAAAAAAAGAACATACACTAGGGAAAGAACCAGTCTCTTCAATAAATGGTATTAGGAAAACTGGATATCCATATGCCGAAGAATGAAACTAGACCCCTCAAATCTCCTACCATATACAAAAATCAAACGAAAATGGATTAAACACTTAAATGTACGACCTAAAACTATGAAACTACTACAAGAAAACATGGGGGAAACTCTCCAGGATGCTGGACTGGGCAAAGATTTCTTGAGTAATGCCCCCAAAAGCACAGGCCATCAAAGCAAAAACAGATAAATGAGATCACATCGGGTTAAAAAGTTTCTGTACAGCAAAGGAAACAATCAACAAAGTGAAGAGACAACTCACGGAATGGAAAAAAATATATGCAAAGTATCTATCTGACAAGGAATTAACAACCAGAATATACAAGGAGCTCAAACTCTATAGGAAAAAAATCTAAAATAATTCAGTCAAAAATGGGCATTTCTCAAAAGAAGACATACAAATGGCAAATAGGTATAAGAAAAGGTGCTTAACATCATTGATCAAAGAAATACAAATCAAGACTACAATGAGATATCATTTCATCCCAGTTAAAATGGCTTTTTAAAAAATATAGACACGAAGTCTCACTATGTTGCCCAGGCTGGTCTCGAACTCCTGGGCTCAAGTGATCCTCCTGCCTCGGCCTCCAAAAGTGCTGGGACTACAGGTGTGAGCCACTGCACCCAGCCACAATGGCTTTTATCCAAAAAAACGGGCAATAACAAATGCTAGCAAGGATGTGGAGAAAAGGGAACTCTGGTACAATGTTGATGGGAACGTAAATTAGCATAGCCACTACGGAGAACAGTATGAAATAGAACTACCATATGATCCAGCAATCTCACAGCTAGGTATATACCCAAAAGAAAGGAAATCAGTCTGTCAAAGAGATATCTGCACTTCCATATTTATGGCAGCACTATTAACAACAGCCAAAATTTGGAAGCAACCAAAGTGTTCTTCAACAGACAAATGAATAAAGAAAATGTGGTACATATATACAATGGAGTACTATTCAGCCACAAAAAAGCATGAGATCCTGTCACTTGCAACAACATGGATGAAACGGGAGGATGTTATGTTAAGTGAAATAAGCCAGGCACAGAAAGACAAACTTTCCATGTTCCCACTCATCTGTGGGAACTAAAAATTAAAACAATTGAACTCATGGATATTGCAGAATGATGGTTACCAAAGGCTGGGAAAGGTGGGGGGAAATGGGGATGGTTAACGGGTACAAAAACATAGTTACATAGAATGAATAAGCTCTAGTATTTGATAGCACAAAATGACTAGAGAATCATTTATTGTACATTTAAAAATATAATAACTAAGGCTGGATGTGGTGGCTCACGCCTGTAATCCCAGCACTTTAGGAGGCCCAGGCGGGCAGACCACTTGAGGTCAGGAGTTCGTGACCAGCCTGGCCAACATGGCAAAAACCCGTCTTTACTAAAAATACAAAAATAAGTCAGGTGTGCTGGTTTGCCACCGTAGTCTCAGCTACTCAGGAAGCTGAGGCAGCAGAATCACTTGAACCCAGGGGGCGGAGGTTGCAGTGAGCTGAGATTGTACCACTGCACTCCAGCCTGGGTGACAGAACAAGACTGTCTCCAAAAAAAACCAAACAAACAAACAAACAAACAAAAAATATATATATATATATAAAACTAAAAGTAAGCCAGGCGCAGTGGTTTATGCCTGTAATCCCAACACTTTGGGAGGCCAGGAGTACGAGACCAGCCTGGTCAACATGGCGAAACTGCGTCTCTACTAAAAATACCAACATTAGCCGGGTGTGGTGCCGCACGTCTGTAATTCCAGCTACTTGGGACGCTGACGCACAAGAATAGCTTGAACCTGGGAGGCAGAGGTTGCAGTTAGCTGATATCATGCCACTGCACTCCAGCCTGGATGACAGAGTGAGATTCTGTCTCAAAAATAAATACATAAACAAATACATACATAAATAAATAAAAGTATAATTGGAATGTAACACAAATGATGAATGCTTGAGGTGAAGGATACCCCATTTAGCCTGATGTGATTATTATGAATGCATGACTGTATCAAAATATCTCATGTATCCCCTAAGTATATACACCTACTACGTCCCCGTAAAAATTGGAAAAAAAATCGACCAAAAAAAAAAAAAAAATTGGCCAGGTGCAATGGTTCACACTGGCAATCCCAGCACTTTGGAAGGCTGAGGCAGGCAGACTGCTTGAGCTCAGGAATTAGAGATCAGCCTGGGCAACACAGTGAAACCCTGCCTCTGCAAAAAATAAAACAAACAAAAATAAATAAAAAATAAAATTAGCTGGGCTTGGTGGCACACACGTGTAGTCCCAGCTACTTGGGAGGCTGAGATGGGAGGATCACTTGAGCCCAGGGAGGTAAAGGTTGTGCCACTGCACTCTAGCTTGGATGACAGAGCAAGATCCTGTCTCAAAAAAAAATAGACCACTGGGAAACACACACACACACACACACACACACACACACACTAGAGCCTTGGCTAACATTTTTAACATCTCACAGCTTATTCCCACATGCCCGTCAGCTTACCCCTTTGCTGATGTAGCCTGACAGCAGGAGGGAGCCTATAATAATGAGAAAGGCGCCGATCAAAAACAGCACAGTGGCAAGTGCGATGGCCTTATAAGGGATCTTAGGAGGAGTTTTCTTAAACTGGAAGAGAAACAGAGACAAAAAAAGACAATGAAGAACGTTATGCAAATACCTGGGTTCAAACATTTAATTAATTACTTTTAATTTTTATGGGTTTTTTTTTTTTTTTTTTGCTTGTTTTGAGACGGAGTTTTGCTCTTGTTGTCCAGGGTGGAGTGCAATGGCACGATCTCAGGTCACTGCAACCTCCACCTCCTGGATTCAAGTGATTCTTCTGTCTCAGCCTCCTGACTAGCTGGGATTACAGGTGCCTGCCACTACACTCAGCAATTTTTTTGGTATTTTTAGTAGAGACAGGGTTTCACCTTGTTGGCCAGGCTGGTCTCGAAGTCCTGACCTCAGGTTATCCGCCCGCCTCGGCCTCCCAAAGTGCTGGGATTACAGGCGTGAGCCACAGCGCCCTGCCTAATTTTTATGATTTTAGAGACAGAGTCTTGCTTTGTCACTCAGGCTGGAGTGCAGTGATGCAATTATAGCTCATTGCAGCCTCAAACTCCTAGACTCAAGCAATTCTCTTGCCTCAGCCTCTCAAGTAGCTGGGACTTCAAGCATGCGCCACCATGCCCAGCTAATTTTTAAAATTTTCTGTAGAGACAGGGTCTCACTATGTTGCCCAGGGTGGTCTCCAACTCCTGGGCTGAAGGGAATCCTCCCGCCTCTGCCTCCCAAAGTGCTGGGATTACAGGTGTGAGTCATCAAGCCCAGCCTCAAACACTTTAAAACAGGGAGGAGAGCTCACACCTGTAATCTCAGCAATGTGGGAGGCTGAGGCAGGCGGATCACTTGAGCTCAAGAGTTTGAGACCAGCCTGGGCAACATGGTGAAACCTCATCTCTACAAAAAATACAAAAATTAGCTGGACATGGTGGTATGTGCCTGCAGTCTCAGCTACTTGGGAGGCTGAGGTGGGAGGATGGCTTGAGCCCAGGAGGTGAAGACTGCAGCCAGCTGAGATTGCACCACTGCACTCCAGCCTGGGTGACAAAGCCAGAGCCTGTTTCAAAAACAACAACAACAACAACAACAACAACAAAAACAGGAGGGTAATTAAGAACCAAACTAGATGCTTTATGTGTCTTAAGTATGTCCTACCACCCAGTGCAGCTCTGAGAAATAAAAGGGACTGGCAAGAGATGCAAGAGATGAAGCTCTAGTTATTGCTCTCACAGTTACTCAAAGGAATCTCAGAGGAATGTCATTCACTCTAGTTTGAATCTCATTCCATAAATCATTCATTGTATCATAAGAAACTTTTTATAAACAAAAACAGAACTGACTTTATGGTCATTCATTTATTAGACATATATTTATTAACTGCCTGGCACATAGATGGCTGTACTAACTTATGGGGATTTAACAGATCCTGTCTCTACAAAAAATTTTAAAATTAGCTGGGTGTGGTGGCACATGCCTGTGGTAACAGCTATTAAGGAGGCTGAGGTGAGAAGACTGCTTGAGCCCAGGAGGTCAAGGTGGCAGTGAGCCTTGACTGTGCCACTGTACCCAAGCCTGGGCAAAAGGGCAAGACCTTGTCTCAAAAAAAAAAAAAAAAAAGAAAAGAAAAAGAAAAAGAAAGGAAGAAAAGGCCAGGCACGGTGGCTCACATCTGTAATCCCAGCACTTTGGGAGGCCAAGGTGGGTGAATGACTGGAGGTTAAGAGTTTAAGAACAGCCTGGCCCAACATGGTGAAACCCCATCTATACTAAAAATACGAAAATTGGCCAGGCATGGTGGTGCACACCTGTAGTCCCCCAGCTACTAGGGAGGCTGAGATATGAGAATCGCTTGAACTGGGAGAGGGAGGTTGCAGTGAGCCAGGACTGCGCCACTGTACTCCAGTCTGGGCAACAGAGCAAGACTACATCTTAAACACAAAACAAGAGGCTGGGCGCCGTGGCTCATGCCTATAATCCCAGCACTTTGGGAGGTCGAGGCAGGAAGATCACCTGAGGTCAGCAGTTCGAGACCAGCCTGACCAACATGGAGAAACACCATCTCTACTAAAAATACAAAATTAGCTGGGCATGGTGGCGCATGCCTGTAATCCCAGCTACTTGTGAGGCTGAGGCAGAACTGCTTGAACCTGGGAGGCGGAGGTTGCAGTGAGCCGAGATGGCACCATTGCACTTCATTCAGCCTGGGCAACAAGAACAAAATTCTGTCTCAAAAAAAAAAAAAAAGGAAAAGAAGGCAATTTCAGTTTATTCCAAACCATTAATTGTTTGTTCCACGCAGCCAGTAAACCTGCCTTATGAACAAACTCAATTCAAGGTTAAGATTCAGAGACAAATTTTCTAAGGTTTGGCTCATGGTTGTGCCTGACCTAAGGGCTGGAAGCTTTCCAGATCTATTTTTATCTTTCCTTCAAATGTGGGTCCAAAGAGTAATTTATTTATTTATAAAGGATGGGTTCCTGCTACTTCCTCGTTGGCCCTGGTTCCACCTAGAATATTCTATTGTAAGGGGAAGTGCGTAAAAGGAGATGCTATAATAGTATTGACTAGTTTATAAATGGTTAAGGTAGGATACAAATTTAATAAATACTCTGTTTCACTTACTATTTATCACAAAGAATACCTTTAATAAATTGGATCTCATGACATCAGGAAAGAAGGAAGATTCCTACAATCTGCTGGCTTTAGCAATAAGTTTCTCCCTTAAAAGGTGAACTGGCTTTGACTAAAGTGTAAATAAACACTGATAAAAAAAATTCCACCTAACGAAAATTTTAAAGTTCCTTAAAAAAAAACAAACTCCATCTTAACAAAACACAATCTAGTTAGTTTCTGAATAAAGTAAATAAAACCTGTAACTGCAAGGCTCTGGCATTACAACTAAAAATTATTAGAGATGGACAATACTGGAATTGGTTTGAAACTACCCTGCCACAGCCCTCTTCTGCAATTATGGCTGAAAAGGTCTCAGAGCTCAGTTTTCTTCTTGTTGCTCCCTCTAATCCCTAGGGAGAGTTAGCAAACCCTCCATTTGGAAGGTCTTTCGGCTAACTCAACAGAAACACAGCCAGCCAGTCTTGCAGTTCTCGTCTGCATTTACCTGAAGGTCAATGTAGCCATCGTCTGTGCTGGAGAGCCTTGAGTATTTCACCTTACTACTGGGGATTCCAGTAGCCAGGTTGGTACGGGACGGCATCATAACACGCTGACACAGCTACGGTTTGAAAACAAAAAACGCTGTTATTGTCTGTAGGTGACAATGGTGCATTACAGCCAATGAGTTCAGGATTATTAGATGCTCTGCATTGGAGTTCTGGGCTGCCATGTCAGACTAGCAATGGGCAATTTACACTTCACTGCTCAATTTTCATTGTGTCAGAGGCATACGCATATGGAGAACCAGATATGCCTCTGACACAGTGAAAACATTCTCACTATATATTAAATATCTAGTCTGGTCTGTCCTTGTAGAATGACAGTGAAGACACTCACCAAGAATCACATTCCAGTTTATTTTGGCACCAAGATTCCCTGACTTTTAATTTTTCCAAAGTCACATAGAGACTAGGTAGAATAATGAGGACTTAAATCCAGGTCCACCTGACACCACAGTATTGCCTGTCCCCCTGCTCCCACTTTTAAGAAAAAGCAAGAGGAGCACATACTCAAATGATTCTCTTGTTTGACAGGGAGGGAGAAGAGGGCAGGAAATGGAATACACTCAAATCAACATTTTGCCTATTGCCCCTCGATAGAGATCAACCCTTTAATAAAGATCTGTAAAGTTTCTTGCCGTAAATTTGTGGGTTTTTTTGTTTGTTTGTTTTTCTTGAGACGGTGTCTTGCTTTGTTACCCAGGCTGGAGTGCAGTGGGTTGATCTCAGCTGACTGTAACCACTACCTCCCGGGTTCAAGTGATTCTCCTGCCTCAGCCTCCCGAGTAGTTGGGATTTTAGGCATGCACCACCAGGCCTGGTTAATTTTTGTATTTTTTAAGTAAAGACTGGATTTCACCATGGTGGCCGGGCTGCTCTCGAACTCCTTTTTTTCTTTTTCTTTGTGATAGAGTCTCACTCTGTTGCCCAGGCTGGAGTGCAGTGGCGCGATCTTCGCTCACTGCTGCTTTCACCTCCTGGGTTCAAGCAATCCTCCTGCCTCAGCCTCCTGAGTAGCTGGGATTACAGGCATGCACCACCATGCCTAGCTAATTTTTGTATTTTTAGTAGAGATGGGGTTTCACCATTTTGGCCAGGCTGGTCTCGAACTTCTGACCTCAAAAAAAAACAAAAACAAAAACAAAAATAAGCCAGGCACAGTGGCACATGCCTGTAATCCTAGCTATTTGGAAGGCTGAGGCACGAGAATCGCCTGAGCCTGGGAGACAGAGGTTGCAGTGAGTCGAGATTGTACCACTGCACTCCAGCCTGGGCGACAGAATGAGGCTCTATGTCAAAAATAAAATAAAATAAAAATAATTTTTTTTATTTGTCCACTTTTCCTCCATAAAGTAACAAAGCTATATGATCAAAATGGATAAATATATTTTAGTCAAAGTTTTAAAATTCTAAATTCAAAAACATATCTTTAAAAAAAGAAAACTGGCCGGGCGCAGTGGCTCACACCTGTAATCCTAGCACTTTGGTAGGCCGAGGCAGGTGGATCACGAGGTCAGGAGTCGAGACCAGCCTGGCCAATATAATGAAATCCCGTTTCTACTAAAACTACAAAAATTAGCCAGGCATAGTGGAGGGTGCCTGTAGTCCCAGCTACTGAGAGGCTGCGGCAGAAGAATCGCTTGAAGCCAGGAGGTAGAGGTTGCAGTTAGCTGAGATCGGGCAACTGTGCTCCAGCCTGGGCAACAGAAAGAGACTCTGTCTTTAAAAAAATAATAATAATAAAATGAAGTATTTCAATAAGGGCATAAGGGCAACATAAAAAAAGGACTAGTTTTTCTCTGGGTTGGCATCTTGAAAATTCATCATTATCATCATCACAATAATGGTGGTTAGTACTTAACTAGTCTTTGTTAGATGCCAGCTGTTCTAAGTACTTTGAACATACTTAATTCCAAAAATTAACAAATTGTTTTCTTTTTTTTTTTGAGACGGAGTCTCGCTCTGTCACTCAGGCTGGAGTGCAGTGACCTGATCTCGGCTCATTGCAACCCCCGCCTCCAGGGTTCAAACGATTCTCCTGCCTCAGCCTCCCAAGTGGCTGGGACTACAGGCGCCTGCTACCATGCCCGGCTAATTTTTGTATTTTTAGTAGAGACGGGTTTCACCATATTGGCCAGGTTGGTCTCAAACTCCTGACCTTTTGATCCGTACGCCTCGGCCTCCCAAAGTGCTGGGATTATAGGCGTGAGCCAGTGTGCCCGGCCCAACAAACTGTTTTAAGTGGCTTGCAGTCAATGTAAAATAACTAGCATAATTAAATAATTGGTGCTAAATATTAGTGTCCCTTTTTATTTATTACATCCTGGTCTAGAAATCAAGTACTGAAAAATGAGCATAATGCTAATCTCTATACTTTTCAAAAAAGATTGGATCAAACTGCGTCAAATACTAGGTTTTTAGTGTTGTGATCCCGACTGCATTTAATTCTATAAAAGTTCAAACTACCAATATGTGTGGTTTTTGAAGGAATTTAACCACATCTAACTTGCACTTAGACTTTTTTGTTAAGTACGTCCTGACATCATTCATACATCCGCATCAAAACAACACATTGCAGGGGCGTGAGGGAGAGGGGAGACGAATGTTTACTCTTGGCAAAGAGGATTCTAAAAGAGGGGAAAAAGAAAAACGAGCATTTTCAAAGTATCAGTCTTCGTTCCCAACAGGCTTTTTATCAGCTCACCACTACCCTCAAACTCCCTCAGCACCTGAATGTTACGAGAGTTCTAAAAGCATCATAAAACGTTTGGCACAGTGCCTGGCATTACGTGTCTCTACATACGTTACTCTCCTGCCCGTCTTCAGACCTTGCCAGAGAGCTAAATAAGAACCGACGCGAATTTAGACGTAAAACAAACTGTGCCAGGGAGGACGAATGCCCCACACGGATGACTCGGAGCTTGATTTCGGCGGGAAGCGCGGTCTCGGACACGCCCAGAGCCCAAAAGGACGGTTCTGTCCCCACCCCGTCGCACACACGCCTTACCGGAGCGCCGCGCCAGGCCGCCCGCACACCCAGAGCTCGCCCACGGTTGGCAGCGCCCGAGGTCGCATGGCACGGCCCGCTTAAGGGCCACTCAGCCCGCCCCAGCCGGGATCAGTGCGCCGGAAGTGGCGTACCGGAAGCAGGCGCGTCGGAAGTTGCGTCGCCGGAAGCGTTTGTTTCTTCAACCAGCTTCCCGGGCTATCGCTTACCGAGTATCAGCTGCGGGAGGCACCGGGGCTGCACGGCTCGAATGCCGATTCGTGGGTTTTGTTTAGGCAGCCGCGACCTGTGCCCGCCGCCGGCTACCTCCACTGTGGCGGGCGAGCACCTAGGGTCCTCGCCCACCTGGGTCACCGTCAGGCCCAGGGCAAGCCAGCTACGTGGTCTCTCCCTTCCTCAGAACAGGGGCCAGGCTAGAGAGCGCCATGGCTTCCCAGGGAGGCAGAAGCCGAGTCCGTCGCAGCCTCAGGACCAGCAGTCAGTGCGGCCAGATATCCGCTGCAAGGCGCTAGCCTTCAGCCTTCCACGGGCGCTCGCCGTCAACACCCCACTACTACACTTCCCTTGAATAGCATATTTGTCTGTGCTGTCAACACCCCGCTATACTTCCCCTTGAATAGCTCCACAAACTTGTGCTTATTTTCAGGCCTTGTCCAGGTAAAAGGCCTGCCCACAAGGGACATTTTGCTGCACATGAAGCTTTTTAGAAAGTTGTTTATTAAGGTATAATTTATACACAAGTACAAATAGATGAGCTCTGAAAATACGTATGGTCCTAAAACCATCACCAGTCTAGATGGAAATACATCCATCACCCCAAAATTCCATCAGCCTCTTTTGCAGCCTGTTTCCTTCTTCACTCAGGCACACTGTAGGAAAATGAATACTTACTACTGGACATGGTTAATTCTGATGTCCAGTAACTAGAACTCAGTCCAAGTAATTTAATAAACTAGTCATTTAATATACCAAACACAAAAATGCACTGGAAAAAAGGATTATGATAAAGCAATTTTTAAAAATGCTTTTTCTAAAGCCAAATTCAGCAGTGGGGGTTGTATACCTACTTTAGTGACACTAATGTAAGTTCTGATAACCTACTACTATCAAACCAGCCAAAAAAATATATATGTATTTTTGAGATGGAGTTTCACTCTGTTGCTCAGGCTGGAGTGCAGTGGCATGATCGCGGCTCACTGCAACCTCCACCTCCCGGGTTTAAGCGATTCTCCTGCCTCAGCCTCCCAAGTAGCTGGGACTACAGGCATGCACCACCATGCCTAGCTAGTTTTTTTTTTTTTTCATTTTTAGTAGAGATGGGGTTTCACCATGTTGGCCAGGCTGGTCTCGAACTCCTGACTTTAGTTGATCCGCCCGCCTCCCAAAGTGCTGGGATTACAGGTGTGAGGCACTGCACCACGCAAAAAATTAATACATAGCACAGTTATCTTACAGCTATTAATGGGAATGTTTTTAAGTCTTTCTTCATAACTTCAGGGCTTTTTCACTTTCTTGGTTGGATCCAACATCCATGGAATTTAAGACATCTTCATCCTTTATGTGAGTGAAGTTGCAAAAAGTGTATTTATACTAGAGAAATTTTGCAGAACCATACTCCTTGGGTCCCATTACAGATCTACTGAAACATCAAAGACTTGTAAGACTCCCTAGGCTAAAAAGAAACACTCCATTAACATCCTTATAAAGCCAACACGACTTTGGGTACACGAAGCTTCTAAAGAGTATTAACTTTTGCTAAGTAAAATGAAATACACAGGATTTGTACTACTCTTGCTTGTTCCTTGTCCTCAAATTGGAATAACAAGTTTGACAAGCAAATCCCCCTAAAATATCTAGTAACCTACTGTATTTGAAATCCTTTTGCTCTCCATCAGGCTGCTCTAAACGGAAAAACCATTTACATGAAAGGGTAGCTGTAGCTGGGAATTCAGTAGGATACTTCCAACAGTCCTGGTCAAAATGAAGGCACTGCCCTGTGATGTTTGAAATTCAAGTAACTTTATTTAAATTCAAAAACAATTCTAAAACTGCATTTAGAGTCAAGACCCTCTTGTATTATAAAAATCACATGTATTTCTGAGACAAAAATACTTCTAGGTTAACTAGACCAGATCTGACTTTGGACTTTATTCTTTAAACAAATTGCAGAGAATAGAGAAAAAAATAGGTTATTTACAGAAAACAATATCTACATATGTACTTAAAAGTACAAATTTGGTGACAGAAAAGACTTCAGTATATGCTGGCATCTCAGAAGCAGTTCTCAAAGAGCTTAGTTTTATTTTCTTGAATTTTAAGAATGCCTAAGATCCTTCTTCATCCTCGATCTTGGGAGCCAAGTAGTACTTCAAGTGTCCCATATCAGCAATTTTATACTCTACAACTGAAAGACCGGAAGATAGTTAATTACTGAGGAGTATCACATATACTACCTACAAAACAAGGTTCAAATTTATTATCTTACCAAGGGGTACATCTGCAGACATACTGAGTGTCACCGTTGAAGAGAGTGGAGTGGCTTTTGTAAAGAAGTTCAGGTACCTCAGTGCAAAAGTTAGTTGAACTGGTTCATTCATCTCTATGGTAACCTACAAGAGAAAACGGAAGATTCATCATTGAAAAACATCAAGAAAGTTGCAATCTATTAGCTTGCATTTATAAAAACCCACAAACACTTTTATTAGTCACTTTGGAGGGAGCTATGAAAATTTTGAAGACGGATGCATAAAGCAAAAGAATCGAGTATCTAGCTCGTCTTTCCTATAATTTAGATAACCAAATTATATAATATGGGAAAGCTTTTCTTTATGGAAATTCTTCTGATAAGCAGCCAAAAAATGAATAAAACGTATTAATTTCAGCTCTGCAAACTCTAATGACTTAATGGATCTAGACAATGACTATTATAGCTGCTAACACTGCGAAGACATCCAGACCCCTTGTGCCTTCTACTAGAGGCACACACCACCACCTATAAAGTATTCATGCTTTCTCACCCCCGAAACAAAACATCCTGAATATCATCAAGGCTCCAGGGCTATAGCTACCAGTCTGTAGGACACAGGGTGGAAGAATTTACATATACACAGGAATGCAATCAGCAAAATCCAAACTCTGGAAAACTTAAATCATCTAATTTCTTCAACAAATAGACTGTAATGGAAGGGGAAGAATGAAATTAGAGGAAACCAGGCTAGGTGTGTTGGCACACACCTGTAGTCCCAGCTACTTGGGAAACCAAGGCAGGAGGATCACTTAAGCCCTGGAGTTTGAGGCTGTAGTGAGCCATGACTGCACCACTGCACTCCAGCCTGGATGGACAGAGCAAGACCCTGTCTCAAAAACAAAGAAAAACAGAAAAAGAAAAAAATGAGGTTAGCAGAGGAGCGGAAATGTGATTCAGGAAACAGATAAAGAATCAGCTCCTAGCCTTTATTAAAAAAAAAAAAAAAAAAAAAACAACAACTTCCAACTGAATTTTACAACTTTATTTAAACTAAATGTTGACTACCCATTCAAGGGACAAGAAAGCAATATATAGTATTTATTGTAAGCTTATAATATGCCAGACACAGCATATGCTAAGCTCTTTAATGTTACCATATTTAATCCTAACAAGCTTATGACATTAGGACCTTCGTCCTTGATTTACCAAGTTTTAATTTACGCTCAGGTTATCGATTTTTTTTTTTTTTTTTTTTTTTAACAAATGAGGCAATTTATTAACCCAGCATGGTTTGTTCTAATGCTTCTTGTTGGCAGCTGCCACCTGTCCGGCGATTCTGTCCAGATCTCTCTGTCCCTGAGGTGTCAGTTTGCGGCCCCCGTCTTGGTCCTTTTCCACCATTTTCAGCCCCTCCAGGGCTTGGAGGACCCGGCGAGCTACACTCTTGGAGCCTCGGCTGAAGTGGCTGGGCATGACGCCGTTTCTCTGACGTCCCCCATAGATCTTGGTCATGGAGCCAACCCCAGCGCCACCCCGGAGGTACAGGTGCCGCGCTGTGGAAGCAGCTCGTGTGTAGAACCAGTTCTCATCGTAGGGAGCAAGCTCTTTGTGCTTGGCTAGCTTGACGGTGTCCACCCATTCGGGGACTTTCAGCTTCCCGGACTTTTTGAGGAAGGCTGCCAGAGCTCTGACGAACTCCTGCTGGTTCACGTCTTTTACAGTAACTCCAGGCATCGTGCGGCCTCCGCGCTGCCAGCCAGGGGAAAGGGCTCGATTTTTTTTTTTTAAGATGGAGTCCTGCTCTGCCACCCAGGCTGGAGGGGAGTGGCATGATCTGGGCTCACTGCAACCTCCACTTCCTCGGTTCAAGTCATTCTCCTGTCTCAGCCTTCCGAGTAGCTGGGGTTACAGGTGTGCACCACCATGCCCGGCTAATTTTTCCTATTTTGGTTAAACAAGGGCTCTCTAGGTACTCTCAAAGTTGCATGGAGTCTGCTTTCTAGCCTTAGTGAGAAGTCTTCCTGTTTAACCTTTGATTCCTACAGCCTGTGACTTTGGCTAAATTGTCACTTAAGGTTGCTCAGCCTGCTTCTCCACCTTTAAAATGGGCTACCAATTGGACCCACAACATGTACGCTAATGTAAGGATTACATAAGCGCTCCTAACAGGTAGACTTTTACTCTTAACCATATCCTTCTATTGAGTTGCTGTTCTATGCTTAATTATTTGGTAATAGAGTAAATATCTCCAGAAAGCTAAAGGTTAGATGCCTAGCTTCCCAATCCTACCCTTAAGAGCCTGTGTGGGCTTGATCCATAAACCATTGTTCTGTGGTATGTACATGTGCTGAATTTGTAATTCCCTTCTTGCAAATATAATTCTAAAATGGATGACACTTACAAATCAGTTGCAGATTTCAACAGTATCTCAATTTTCAGAAATTACTTGGGATCCAATTCTGTCTACTTTTAATTTTAGCAATTAACCTAATAAGCAGTATTACAATTCTCTTCAAACTATTTTTTTTACTTAAAAACTACTTACAGCTTCCTCCTCTTTATCGACATTACTTGTCTGTGACAATTTAATGTTTCCATTTCCAAGTTCTCCACTTGCAGAAAATTTCACGCCGTCTTTTGCACA